CACACACACACACACACACACACACTGACACTCACACTCTCTCTCACTCACACACACACGCAGACAGACACACACAAACATACACACTCACACACACGCGCGCGCACACACATACACAAAATAAGGGCTGCATCTTTAAAAAGCATAAATTATTTTACTGAGATGTCTCGTTTTGATATATGTATCTCTGAAAGTAGTGACTGAACTGATCATAAATGTGATAAAAATTACAGAAATGCAAAAATGCATTTTGATTGAGTATTATTGTTCCACAGCTAGTCATATTTTAGCCATGTTTATATAATATATAATAATCATAAACGTATGAATAATAGCTGATTATAAGAAATTGTAATAAATGCATTTTGAAATATGATTATTAAAATAAAAATTTGATTAATAGCTAATAATAAATAGTTAATTTGATCACAAATAGTTAATAAACTATGCTGTGACTTTTTGAGTGCAGAAATCTGACCTGTTTCTTAACTGTTTCGTTTATGTAGGACTGAAAAATATGCATCGCATTAAGTTTATTAGGTTGGTTATGATAAAACTTTGTAATCCAAATGCAATTCAGATACATTTAGAATTTAGGCTTAAATATTGACCTGCAGTTTCGTTGTTTAATGCATTATTCAGGCTCTGTGTGATATTTTATGTCATTGAAGTCTGTCATTTAATAGTGATATTTTCCATTAGAGTTCACTTAGAGCAGCTTTAAATGACTTGATGATGGACCTTCAGAGAGTCAGAGATTGTGAATCGCAGTCCCTCAGAACAAACATCTATATCGAGCAATCCTGTAATTTGGCAACTAAAACCTCATTTGTCTCTTAAATGTTTCCTCGTTGGATCCAAACTAAGATGCTGTCTTTGGTTGAACTGAGATGAGGTGAAGAGCTTGAGAAAGTGTGTTTCTCTCAGACCTCTAAACTCAGCACAATTAACCTCGTGAGAATCTCAGCCTGTAATCATTCACGTTATATTTCAGTCACTCTCTGAAGCCGCTCGTTTAATTCCTTAATGCATCTTACTTGCTCAAACCCTTACTAACTAATCAAAAATATATTTTTTTACATATTAAGAACATTAAACATTGTGTTTATTGAAATAAAGCAGATATTAAAATAAAAAATAAAATGCAAAGAAAACTTTAAAAATTAAAAAATAATAGAAATGTTGGCGAGTAGTTGAAATAAAATTAAATAATAAATTATAGTAAATTAATTATACAATTACAAAACAATTAGCTAAACTTAAAATGGACTAAGAATATAAAACTAAAAGCCAATTAATGGTTAAAAATATGTTAGTATGTAAATAATACTGAAGTAACACTGCTCATGACCAGGGTTATTGATACCCAAAACATTACCTTAAAAAGATTTTGTTAATTGAAATAAAGCTGAAATAAAATATAAATATTAGATGACAAAAATTAATCTAATATAAATAGAAAGGTTGGCAAGTAACTGAAACAAGTTTAAAATAATAAATATAATATTATAATATATAATATAAAATAAATATAATAAAATAAAAGTACTAAAAATTAAAATTAAAATGAAGGAAAATATTTTTAAAAGGCTAATCAATGATTTTAATAAAAATATGTAAATAATTAGAAAATAACCAGGGTTATTGTTACCTAAAACAATTTTAAAAAAAAAACATTTTTTTTTATTGAAATGAAATGAAATAAAGTAGAAATTAAATTCAAGTAAATATAAATGTTAGATGAAAAACTTAGAAAATTAAAAAAAAATAATAAGGATGATGATAATAATAAGAAATAAGAAAAAATTAAAATGTCAAGTAACTGAGAAAACTTTAAAACACTAAAATTAAATAATACAAATATTTAAGAAAAATATTTCATAATAAATATATACAAAATAATAAATTATAATAGAAATCAATTAAATAAAAAGAGAAAATAATACAAATTAAACATTTAAATGTGCTGAAAAAGATATATAAGCTAATTAAAAACTTTAATAGTATATGGATAATATTAAAATAGCACCGCTCATAACCATGTAAAATATTACACTGTATCAGGCACTGTACTGGCTGATTATCATATTCGTGTGCTGTGATGTTTATATGTTTCTTGGACAGTTCTATGGTTCTAATTATAGTAATGTTGTGTAACTGCGCTGAAGTTTCCCCAGAAGAGCATGTTGTGTGAGTTCTCTGATGATGTGTTCAGGAGTATCACGCTCAGCTGGAGGAGATGCAGGTGACCATCAGACAGCTGGAGGAGGACCTGTCTGCCGCTCGCCGCCGCAGCGACCTGTACGAGACCGAGCTGCGAGAGTCACGGCTGACCAGCGAAGAGCTCAAGAGGAAAGCAGCCGAATACCAGCAGAGGATCCAGAAGGTGTGTGTGTGTGTGTGTGTGTGTGTTCAGTCAGTGACCAGTAAG